CCTTCACTTGCATCTCCTTGTGAAAAAATGAAAGTTTAGATATGAGAATTTATGATTTTGTACATTTTGCTTATATTGGATGGTAGTTTCTGGTTCGAATGAGTTCATTGATTCGTTAATTTGTTGGTTTTGGAAATAAGATAGGACTTACAAAGTAAAGAGAATTTAGAATAAGGAATGATTTGATAACTGTTTGTATATCTCTTCTCATCAAGGTGCATACACTTATATACAGAGATAGCTAAAGCTAATTACAGTAGCTAGGAATACAAGGCTTGACAGCAGCAAAGATTAAGATAATTAACAACTAAATTACAGCCTATACATAACAGGATGTTAAATCAAAGGATGATGACTCATATGCAAATCCTTGATTCATGGGAAATTGTTCAATCTAGTTGTGCTTGATTGGGAAATTCAATGGATCTACTGGAGCTTGATTTAGAAACATTAATTGACTTCTGATTGTGAGGAGTCGTATCTAATCTCATACAAAGAACTAAGGTTAAAATGTCAACAGTTTATTTTAAACATGAACAAGATCTGTGCTTCATGCTTTTTAATCTGTTTGTCGCTTTACAATTCACTATTTGATGGAGTAAAGATTATTTAGTAATTTAGTTGTATTAAAACTTTTATTTTTTCTATTTATGTAAAAAATTAACAGAACCCAACTTTTAAATTGGCTTAAAATATATTAAAAAATAATTGTTAAGTCGATTTGCCTAACCAATGATGATAACCAAATGCTTTTTATTTAAGTGAATAAATCTGTTACAGAAATAGGAATAATAGGGACAAAATATCTTATGGCTTCTGCACACGTCTAAATAAATGTCCAATAACATCGTATTCAAATATATTCTCTCAGTATAAGGTGTGCACGCGCGCGCGAGAACAAGCTTTTTCAAAGCGGATTGTTGGTTATTAAACGGTCCATCCGGCCTTGTTGTCAGTCTGATTTGGATCCAAAGAGTCACGAACGTGGCCGTCACAAATCTATTTCTTTTTTTATGTTAGTCTACACTATGCGCATTTTTGCCTCTTGCCCATCGGAACTCATGTAGCATGTTTATATATGTCATAAACACATTTTTATTTGTATTCCATAATAACTATCTGATGCATTAAAGATTATTTAGTAATTTAGTTGAATTAAAACTTAAATTTATGCTATTTATGTAAAAAAATAACCTAACACAACTTTTAAATCAGCTTTAAAAATATTAAAAAATAATTGTTAAATCGATTTGCCCATCCAATGATGATAACCTAATGCTTTTCAATTAAGTGAACAAATCCGTTACAGAAATAGGAATAATAGGGATAAAATATCTTATGGCAATACACATCTAAATAAATGTCCAATAACACCATGTTCGATCAGATATATTCTCTCTGTATAAGGTATGTGTGAGCGCAAAAATTGATTTTTTCAGAACGGATTGTTAGTTACTAGACTGTTGTATCCAATCTTATTATTGGTCGTCTTTGGATCTAAAGAGTCACGAACGTGGACGTCACAAACTTTTTATTTTTATTTTTATTTTTATTTTTATTTTTTTCTATTATTCTACACTATGTGCATTTTAGCCCCTACCCATTGGACACGTAATCTTCTTTCCCTTATTCACTTCCCACAACAAATTAACCCAATTTGACTTAGGACGTTATCTCACATAAGTGGTCAGCATTAACTAGAATTTCGAAGAGGGTCCCACACGTAACACGTGGGATTGTGGGCTTCATGCCGTCAATGAATGTCTGATTCCTTGTGCAAACCTATTTTCGTTGGATTTTGATGGTTGTTTTCTCATAATTGAAAAAAGGAAAAATGTCACTATCAATTTTTAAGGGCCTATTTGTAATTTTTATTATTTACTGTCAATTCCGAAAAAGCAAAAATAAAAATTAAATTATATTCAATAAAATTGATTCTGATTTTTAAAAAGAGAAAGTGAAATCAGTTTTAACGAAGAAAGTGGAAAGTGACTTTTTGATGCTTTCTATACTTTCTTCACTATAGTGAGAAATTGATTCCTACACTGTTACCACACGGGCCACTGTTCATCCCAAATAAGTTGTGCGTGAGTTCTGTCTCGTTTATAACATCTTTTCTCTTCTCTCCATGCCCGCCGCCACTCTTATCTTCTCTACACTCTCTTCGAACCATATCCCATACCTGAATCCACCATGGACGACACAACCGAAGGCTTATGGTTGTTCTCCAAGGCTTCTCATTTCGAACCACCATATCTCCATTTGCCCAAACTCTTCTCCCCATCAAATTTAAGCCTTTGCATCTCTATTACTAATCACCATAATCGCCCAAATAAAGGCAAACCACTTCTGTAACACTCGCAGTGGAATCTTCAATTTCTTTGACGAGGCTGAGGTCCACGTATTCGTGAGGCTTACTGTTGTTCAACCACTTGTCACAGCCCAAGAAGAATAGGTAATCAAAGAAAAAAAACTAAAAACAATCCAAATTAGTTTTGCGAGGTCAAATCTTGAAACCCCAATAGACTTAAAAAAAAAAAAACTCAAGTTTAAGCAAAAGGGTTTTGATTTGAGGAACTCTTTGACGAAATGGGTGTGAAAGTTGATGCAGAGGTAGCAGTTTCACGGTCTTTAGTCCCACTGAATCAACCAGAGTAAAGAAGATGGGTGAAGAACCATTATAGGGTATAATAAACATACTGCATCATAGAATCAAAATGCTAGAATTTGTCCCTCTCAATTCATCATCAATCATCTAGATAGTGAGCATATGAGTGCGTCTCAGTCTTCTCCTCTCTCTGATTGGAGAGTGAATGCTTGCAATAAGGCACGAAAAGAAATCTGCACACATAAACAAGAGAAAGTCACAAATTTGTCGCTTGATTAAGATTGACCGGAACTGAATCAGCCAAAGTAAAGAAGATGGGTGAAGATGCGAAGGTTGTGGGTGAAATGGGTTCGCCTAAGTTAATTTTTGGTGGTGGTCGGATGTGTGGTGCTCGCCGTCGCCGAGCACAATTTCGTTGGAAGTCTTCAATCTGGTAGTCTGATGGGTTTGTTGGGATTTTTGTTGATGTGGTTTGGTGCTTAAATCATCAATCATTAATTGGGTACTTTTCCATTGAAGAGATTAGGCACTCCCCTTGTGATATTCCTTCTCTTAATTGACTCATAAACTCCAGCTTTTGGAGGTAAACTGCCGGGTTGTTCATGGAACTAATCCAATGTGTCACCGTTTCAATCCATCTCGTCGTGCTGGTTCAGCGTCGTCTTCTTCGTGAGGGTCGCGAAGGCACGGCTAAGATTTCAGCCGCTGTTTTTTGTAGAGAGAGAAATATAATAGGAAAGCAAAATTAAAAGTAAAATTATTAAATTTACTTTCTATTTTTTACTTTCTTATTAAACATCATTTTACTTTTAAGTAAGTCGGTAAGCTATAATGTTCATTAAGTTTGACCTAATTGTAAATAAATATAAAATTTACTATTTTTTTTAATGACCTCATATATCATATTTTGTTTCTTATTATTATATTATTAAAAATATCAAAATATTTAAGAATAAAAAATAACTATTTTCCCCCCTAAATACAATGAATGTTATATATATATATATATATATATATATGTGTGTGTGTATATACACACACACACATATTACCTGAATGTTAAAAAGATTAAAATGTTCCTCTATAACTAAATAATACTAATAAAAAATGATTAATTTCACTCATACCCCCTAAAGTTTGACCATTTTTCACCCTCAAACATTTTTCAAAAATAACTATCACTTGAGCTCATTTCCACTTTTCCGTTACGATTTTCGTTAAACATATGTTAGTGTTTGTATTATACAGTATATATACATACCCCATTTTCACGTGTGTGTGTGTGTGGATATGTCTGTGTTTGTATTATACAATATATGTATATATATGTCTGTATATATAAAAACACCATTAATATTTTAATTTTGGACAAATAACACCCTATAGTTTATTTTAGGTATATAACTCTGTTAAGTTTGAAAAAAATGAACAAATAAAGTATGTAAGTCCTTTGAAAAATGAGCAAAAAAAAGCTTGAAGTTACTCTTAAGATATAAAATTCTAAAAACATCATTATTTCTTCCTATAATGCCCTTAATGAGGTCATTGTTTCATTAAAAATTTATTATAATGCACATGACATTTTTAAGATATAAAATTTTAAAAATATTATTGTCTTTTTCGATAATATGCTTATATATATATATATATATATACATGTCATATTTAATTAGTTTTTTTTATCTATTTTTTAATTCAATTGTATAGGGATAATTTAGTCTTTTTAGCATTCAGGTCATTGTTTATACCAAAATTAAATATTAAGGAGATTTAGAATGTACGGGGTTATGTGTTATATGCTCTATATGCATACCATTAGGGTTTTTTTTGTCTACAACCCTATATTATATATATAAAAAAATTATTTAGTTATTTCACATTTAATTAGTTTTTTTTTATTTATTCGGTACACTTCAGTGTTTTTTAATACAATCTTTTCAGCATTCTAGAAAATTTAATGTTAGGTAAAAACACTAATTAAGTTTGAAATGACTAAACATATAGTATCATAATACAGATTGCGGGCTAAAAAACACTCATCTATGTATTAACATTGGCCCAGCCAAATTATTGCTCCTAGAATTTAACACCATTAAAAAAAACTAATGATTTGGAAAGAATTTATTAGAGTTGTATTCATCTCTGCTTTCTTATTTACAGGAAGTTGGAATGAATCAACCCGGAAATTAATTTGCAAATCACGAAGGCACAGAAGACGCCTAGAGTTCAAAAACGAATGAAATAAGCCACACCATTTCATTCCAATACTGAAAACTTCTGTGTGGCAGATGCATCAATAGTTCATCTAGCAGTTTAGAATGATGAACTGGGACGATTACTGTGGATCACTTGATTTACCCAGTTGAGAAGGTAGCCACTCAAGAGGGGTTTATAGCCTATGGCGGTTCTTTTCTCTAGGAAAATGCTATATATATATATATATACACACATTGTGCACTATCAAATGTAAAATTAGGATGATGACACCATCATATCTACAATGATTGCTAAAATGAACTTTAGGCAGCCAACATTGTTTGGTAAATCTTAAAAATTGCTAAAAACATTTTTTGAACACAATAAACAAAAAAAAAAAAAACTATGTAGACATATTCCATTTCCAGCCATTAAGAAAACACATCCAAACTAGGAAAGACATAATGCCATAAGAGAAGAGTGATGAAGTAATATAAAAACTCATATAGTGGTGTTTGGCACCCTTACATGAAACCAAATCCTGATTTAGGGAAGGAAAAAAAATAAAGTAGCTGCATGGAAGGATAGAAGGGGAACCCAGATTCATACGAGAATGTGGAATTTGTCAGAGGCGAGCTTGAAAAGCTCCATCACTGTAAGAAGAGATGGAAAGTGGAAAAGAAAGTAAACAATATTGAAGAGATTATTGTGTCCACCATAAAAATAAATAAATAAATAAACAAAAACAAAAACAAAAACCTCTGTTCTGTTCTAGAAGAATACCTTGGCGGAAGTTGAAAGTGGCCCTGATCACCACAATCGTCACACTTGAAGTAACAAACAGCAGCCCCGTCCCCGTGTGACGCCTCGAATTCATACGTTGTCCCGCATCCACAGGTCACAGATCGATACTAAATTGAATGTATTCGTAAGAAGAAATTGTAATAGAAACACACAGAAAGATAAAAAGGATTCGATTAGACTTACTTGCCACCATATTGGGGTTAACCAGAGGGGGACTGATAAACTCGTCCGCGTCGGAAGAGGGCTTGGGAAGTTCGGCGTCCAAAGTCGGCCGATTGTATTTCTCCATTTTGCTTATTGTGCAAAATTTTGCAAAGTCAATTGTCTGAGCTACTTATTTTAATTGGTCTGGAGCAAATAAGGGAAGTCCTCCTCTTACTCAACATAAATAATCAACAAGAAATTTTATCTTATATAATTCATTAAAACAAATAAGAAAAAGAATCGTGCTTGAGTTGAAAAGACGTTAGCATCGTCGCATTATAAAAGAACTGTATTTGAATTGAAATTTTAGAATAGTAACATTATGAAAAGAACTATATTTGAGTTGAAATTTTAAAATAACTATATTTATGTGAGTCGATTTTTGTTAGAGTGTCAATTAAATTATTTTCCTTTTAAATTATCAAATATTCAATAATTATTTTGACAAGAATTTCACACACATCACTCACACACCCACCCACCTTACTCTTTTGAAGCCTTAAACATTTGAGAGATAAAGGAGATAGCACTTGGACACAAGATCCTTGATAAAATGTTCTTTTTACTTATTGAATAATTATGTAATTTTTCATTTTTCAATGCATGCGAAATGGCATAATTGCATTAAAAATAAATAAATAAATTGTATATATATAAAGAGCAAAATACACTTTTACTTCATAATAATATGAAAAGCCATTCATACCCTTTTATGTTAAATACTATTATAATATATATCTATTATCTATATCTATACCTATACCCTTTTATGTTAAATACTATTATAATATACAATTAAATACTATTATTTTATGTTAAAAGTGTAAAGAGTTTCAAAATTTTAGTATTTATTTATTAATCTAAAAAAATATTTATTAATTGATATTAAAAATAATTTTTGAAAGAGTTTCTATAAAACTCTAACACAAAATACCTATTTATCTATTTATTATGAATTTTTTAATAAAAAAAATCTAATTAGACAAAGATATATTTAAAAAAAATAATAATAATTTCTATATTTTAAGTAAGTGTAAAAAATTTTAATATTTCAATATTTATTTATTAATATAAAAATATATATTTATTAATTGATATAAAAAGAGTTTTTAAAAGACTCTAACACAAATTATCTATTTATCTATTTATTATAAATTTTTTAATAAAATGAAATCCAATTAGACAATGATATATTTAAAGAAAAAATAAATAATTTCAGTATTTCAGTAAAAGGAAATCTAATTAGACAAAATATATTTAAATAAAATAAAATAATTTCTATAAAACTCTACCACAAATTACCTATTTTATTTTCTATAAACTATATCACAAATTACATACTTATCTATTTATTATGAGTTTTCTAATAAAAAGAAGACAATGATGTATTTTTAAAAAAATTACCTATTTCTAAAAAACTCTACCACAAATTACCTATTTTATTTTATATAAAACTCTATCACTTATAACCTGTATTTATCTATTTATTATAATTTTTTTTTAATAAAAGGAAATCTAATTGGACAATGATATATTTAAAGAAAATAAAATTATTTTTTACGTATTTTATTTTCTATAAAACTCTATCACATATAACCAGTACATATATATTGGATTAGCCTTGTCGTGTGAATATTTTTTTAACGCATGGTCTTCCAAATGTGGAATAGGTGCGATGGTTCAAAATTTGTTGTTTTTAATTTGTTGCATTGAGAAGGTAGCAATAGTTGTTGTTGATCGGATAAATTTAACTTGGATTATTAATTTTTTTTCTTTACTTTTTCTCTTTAGATGCATTATTATTATTTTCTTTTCTTTTATTTTTATTTTTCTCTTTCTAATTGATGCTTAGAAGTGGTTGATTTAGTAATTTACTTTGGATTGTGATTTTTTTTCTTTATTTTTTATTTTTGGTTCATTCTTAATTTATCATTATTTTGAGTCATTATTGTTATTTTTTTTCTTTACTTTTTATTTTTAAGAAGTATCATTTTTCTTTTTTCTTTAGTTTTTATTTTTATTTTACTCTTCGTTAGTTTACTTTGAATTTTATATCTTTTCTCCACTTTTTTTTTTTTTTTTTTTTTTTTTCATTCTTAATTTATTATTTTGGGTTGGGTTTCACTGTTTTTTTAGTTTGGGTTGGACTTGATTTTGAAATGAATTTGTTGCTGTAAATTTTTTATATGTTTTTTTTTTTTTTTTGTTGGTTCAATCTTAATTTATTGTTTTGAGTCTTGTTGGTATGTAAAATTTTTGATTTTTTTTTTTTTTTACTTTTGGTGCATTCTTAAATACAAAGATAGTTATTAATTAATATAAAAAGAGTTTTTATACGTTTTTCTATAAAACTCTAACACAAATTACCTATTTATTATGAGTTTTTATTTTTTAATTAATATAAGATGTTAAAACTCAAACCACCAATTTATTGTAAGTTTTTTAATAAAATGAAACCTAATTAGACAAGAAAATATATAAAGACATTAAATAATTTAGTTTCTCTAATTAGACAGGGAAATATATAAAAATTTAATAATGAATTCCTATTAAAAGTTTAATAATTGAATTCCTATTAAAAAATTTAGTAATATTCTTTATAAAATTTTCCCATAATTTAATATATAACCAATTTACATTTTTTATATAAAAATAAATAATAAAGAGTTTCTATTACATAAATAAAAGAGATAAAAGTGTAAAAAGTTTCAGTATTTCAGTATTGGAAAAACTACACATAGAGTTAGGAGTCTCAAACAACAAATTAGTCAATTTTAAAACTTTATTTTTCACTTTGGTTGAATTAAACAAAATAATTACATGTACATAGGGAATCCTTGTTAATGTCCAAAATACTCTCAAAATTATTATTTTAAAATATCAAATTATTCTTTTTAAATCATATAATTTTTTCATCCAACAAATCCAAAAAATTATGAATGCATGGATGCAGTTATGTTAGTCATGTTACGCTTTTAGTTGTGATATATTTACATCTAAAAAAAAAAAAAAAAAAAACTGGTGCTAAGGTCTGCCTTTATACAATTTTTGTTTTTTATATCCATACATTTGTTTTAACTTAAAAAAAAAAACAAAAAACAAAAATAATGAGTATACAAAGAAATATAATATCAAAACATTATATAGAGTGAGGCACAAAATTAATGAAATTTCAGTTTTCACAATTAAATAAATTTTTTATTATGAGTTTTTTAATAAAAGGAAACCTAACCAGACAAGGAAATATATACAGAAAATAAATAATTTAGTTTCTTTAATTAGACAAGGAAATATATAAAAAGTTTAATAATGAATTCCTATTAAAAAGGTTAATAATTGAATTTCTATTAAAAAGTTTAATTAATAATTAAGGTTTTTATCTTTTTAAAATTCTAACACAAATTACCTATTTATTATGAGTTTTTATTTTTTAATAAATATAAGGTGTTTATAATAATTTCTATAAAACTAAAATCACATATTTATTATGAATTTTTTTTTTAATAAAAGGAAACAAAATTAGGCAAGGAAATATATAAAGAAAATAAATAATTTAGTTTATATAATTAGACAAGGAAATATATAAAAAATTTAATAATGAATTCCTATTAAAATGTTTAATAATTGAATTCCTATTAAAGTTTAATAGGATTCTTTATAAGTTATTCCCATAATTTAATACATAACCAATTTATACATTTTATATAAAAATAAAAATAATAAATAATAAATAATAAATAATAAAGAGTTTCTATTACATAAAAGAGATTGAAGGGTTATAGTGGGGTCGTAATTATATTATTTTACTATAAATTTAGATAGTATTTTAAAAAATAAATAAATAAAACCAAAAAAATGTTCGGTACACATATATAAAAGAGAGGAAAATTTAAAAGAAATGATTTCTATCACATAAAAGATAGAAAGGTTTAGTATAAGATTTCACAAAAAAAAAAAAAATATATATATATATATATATATAATAATAATAATAATAAATAAATAAATAGAGAATAAAGAGTTTCTGTTACATAAAAGACATACAAGGGTTAGACTAGGATTCTAATTATATTATTTTATTATAAATTTCAACTCTTTCACTAGGATTCTAATTATATTCTTTTATTATAAATTTGCAAGTAAAAAGAAAAAAAAACCTAGAGAGTTCGGTATATATATACTATTATTAAAAGTACAGGGGTTAGAGAATTTCAAATCATTAATTTAGAAAAATAATTTAAATAAAATATCAATAAGTAAAGTCTAACTAAAATAAATCTATACTTATTACTATACAAAGATACCTAATTATAGTGAGTTAAGACAATTCCTTCAACCAAAACTTCTAATTTCATTCTCTAAAAGTTTCCTACTAATTTTCTTCTTTTCTTACCAATTTTCTTTTATAATACGATTTACATTTCTAACAACCTATTTCTTCATCTATTATAATTTCTATATGGATTAAATAAGATAACTAATATTTATTCTTTTTTTTTAGCTATTAATTTAACCCAAATTCTACTTAAAGATAAACTCTTCTTAAACAAAATAATTCCTTCCACCAATATGACATATCATTTATGTACTCAGGACCATCAACTTTGATCTAATAATAAAGTCAATCTCAAATATTAGGTATGTCTCAAATTTTCTTTTCTCATTGATTTTTTTGTTCACCAAGGAATTAGTAGTATAAACTGACTTTACTCAAAAGGAAATCTAGATTTTTAAACTATGACACAAGTTTTTATTTATTTCTATATGAATTTACCTAATTTAATCAAAAAAATAATGTTATTTTCTACTGTTACAAGTTTAATCTCTCACTAAATAAAATATAGTTTACTAAAATCAATATATTTCTTTTCAATATTCTTCAAATTTTTTGTATCAGAACTTTTATTTTTTTAATTTGATGTATTTATAATTTATATTAAAATTTTAATCAATAATTATATTTGAAATGGAATTCTCTCCTAACCAAAGAAAGGAATCATACTATCCTAATTACATTTTATATGTATGAATCAAAGTGTACAAAGTCACAAATTCAATTATATTTGTGATTTTTTTAAAATTTTTTGTCTAATACTCCATTTTTTCAGTTATTCATGATTCAACATTTACAAATGGTGGGTTTAAATTATCACCGCTAATATCACCCCATTGTTAAACTTATATTGTGATAAAAAGTCCGCTAGAACTACCTAGTCCAAGCAAAAAAATAAAAAAATATATTAAAGCTTCACACCCAAAATCAAAAAAATAGTTAGAACTATTTTATACACTTACTTACTTAATACGTTTTACTTTTTATCTTTTACTATTTTATATTGTTGACTTATTATGATTTACAATTATGACTAATGATTTCAAATTATGAATTTTAATATTTATCTAAAATTAGTATTTATATCATAATTAATAATTATTTAAGTAAAATTTTGTAACTCCTTAAATTTTAATCTTTACTCTTAGAATACTATTTGTTGCTCATGATTCATGAATATGCAAAAATAAAAAATTAAAGAACACATTTGATTTCATTAATATTTAAAATTGTAATTACTCAAACAAGTTGCTAATTAATTATTTAAAAATAAAATTTATTTTGATAATTCTCTATAATTTTTAATTAAAATTATAAAACAACTTTTGATCACATGTATCGCACGTGGTTTTTACTAATATATATATATATATATATAAAGTATTTTGGTGGAATGGCTAAATAATCCCTATATTTTACTTTGTCGTAATAACATGTCATGCTAAGAGTCGGAATTGAGTTCGACACTGAGGTGGGAGATAAGTATAGAGTCATTGATCGTGTGATTGCGTGAGAAAAATAAGGGACATTGGAGGGCGAGAGGATGGCCAATTGGTGTTGAATTATAAGGTTTAGGCTTCGTTTGGGTTGAAGGATTTGGAAGAATGTGGAGAGAAATGATAGGAAGGAAATAAGGTTAATTGTGTTAGGAAGGGTTAACGTGAGATAAAGATGGATGGCTCATATCATAATCCTAAAAAAATGAGATAAAAATAAAAGAAAATAAGGGAAATGATAGTGTTTAAGTAATATTTTTATAATTTCAAAATTGCCCTCAACAATTAAAAGAAGAAAATTAGTAATCCACTCATGTCATATCTATTTAAAATGGTATGCTAGTAATTTGGATGTTATCTTTTTATTTATTTATTTTTTATCTTATTCAAACAAGAATTCTATCATTTTCTTTATTTTCTCTCCTATATATCCAATTATGAATATAAATTATTGTTCTCATTTCATTTATTTTATTTTCTCTCATAACTAATGTTATCAATTTTTTTTTTTTTTTCTCTCCTATGTATCCAAACGAATTGGAATCTAATTGTAGGGCTAAGGTTTTATTGTCCGTTAATTTCATGAACACCATAGTTCATTTGCTTGGCAATAGAAGAAATAAAATTATGGTCTAAAAGTTAGGATGCAACTCGGGTTTAAAGTATAAATTGAGCCTAACCCACCATATAAAATGTTAAATGCAAACCCAATTCTAACCCGATCCTCAACCTAAGCCCAGCCCATCCTTCTACTTTTAAATTAAAGTTTGCAACTTGGGCTTATATTTCGGGTTAAAAATTTGGGTTACTCATATGGCTAATTTTCACACCGAAAATTTAATATGATATTGAATTAGTTATAGATCAAATTACTTTTTAAAAAAAAATTTAAAAACTTTTTTTAAATTCTTAATAAATTACAAACAAATGCTTAGAAAATGAATTATCCTAAATGTTAAAATACAATAAGTTAATATTTAACAAAGGAAGTTGGAAAAAAAAAAGTAATCATAGTTTAAATATTATATATAATGTATTTAATATTATAAATATACATGAAAATAATATTAAAATTTGAGTTTGGGTTGACTAAGTTACCAACACCTCAACACAAACCCAACCTTAATTAAATTCGAATTAAAAAATTTCAACCCAAACTAAATTCTAATTAAATTCGGTTTGGTTTGCCTAATCATTGCACCCCCACTTAGAAGTACCTAAAATGGAGGTTACAAAGAAAGGGTGGTGATTGGTGATGGTAGAGAGAGAAAGTGTTTCACTGCATAGAAGCCCAATATGTGAATTAAAAGGGTATGATTATAATTTTACAAATATTTTTTAACATATTTAATTTTTTTTTTTTTTACATAATTCTTGACGTTTTCACAAAATCAAACAGCTTTTATGTCATTTTATAGGAGCGTTCATTTGCTTTGCTGAGTTCATCTGATGCAATTTGATCTGATCAAATTTTTAGACTCAGGAATCTGTGATGAATTTAAGAACATAAATTTTATAATTTATGAATTAATTAATGTTTATAATGATATTTAAATTACGCTATCAAATATATTTAATTGAATAAGTATTTATTTTGATCAAAATTAAGAATTAAATTAGAAAAAAATAAAGATTGAATTGATTTTTTTTTTTTTTTTTTTTCTAACACCTCCAATATTTTTTTTATTTATGTCATCAATCAATTGTATCATATTACTTTAGTTGAGTAGGTCGAAAGAATTTAATAAGTAGCTTGACCACAATTAAGGTCTATTTTTTGTTATTGTTATTATTATTAATATTATTTTAAGTTTATTCGTGGTTAAATCGGAGAAACCACTATTTCCACTAGGTTACCTCCCAATTGCAGCAACTGGACCGAGTGAGTCAGAAACCTCTAATGCCGACTCAGCCCCCACTCAGAATGCTTCATCCACACCACGATTCACCGATCTCTGATCAGACGATCTCTCTGTAGAAAAGGCCTAATCTTCATCGATTAGACAGCGTTTTTTTGCTCGTATCATTCATCAGATCTACACAGAATTGGTCTGAACATCGTTTAGATTTTCGGATTTGGTTTTGTTTTGGTTGATCGATGGCGACGAGGAATCGAACATTTCTGTATAGAAAGTACAGAGACGCATTGAAGAGTGTGCGCGCGCCGACGAGTTCCTCACCGTCGTTGTCTTCGAGCTCCGGCGGTCCCGTGATCGAATTGTCCACAACTTCTCTTCTCCACCCTAATAGGTCTTATGCACCCCTCAGTACTGAAGATCCCGGAAGTTCCAGGTATATCTCTCTCTACACATACACGCACACACAGGATTTACCTATATATGCATTTGAAATTCCTTCTGGATGTCTCGAATTTGTTTTGGAATTTATTGATTGTGAATGTTGTTCTATGTTATGTTTGCATTAAATTTATCAATTGACTTGAAGATTATGGGATTTGTATAATGTGTTTAAGTAGAATGTTTGAAAATCACTGGCATTGCATATGGAATGAGGGGATTTGGTAGGCTTGGAGCAGAAAAAGATGCAATTATCAAGTTAGGATTGGGTTGTGGTGAATAGTTCTAATGAAATTGAGTGTGTCTGGTAAGTTGATTGTTTATAAACCTTAAGTTGGAGATACAAATTGGATGTAACACAGAGGGGAGTAAGATACATTTTCTTCACTTAAGTTTGTGCGATGTTTCCATGAAAGTATTGTCAAAGGTTTTTAGATTAATGAATGTCACCTAAGCATAAGGCTCCAAGATTACATAGGTATAGATTTAGAGAATTGCAACAGTTCAGTTGTATGGAGCTGGCTGCCCATGATAGGAGTTGCAGTGGATGGATTTTTTTATTACTATACTAACCAACTTCTGTTGGAATGATTTTCCTGTCTTGATCTATTGAAAAGATCATGTAAACAGTAAACTATGATTTTATCTAAGAATATGTCGAGTAATTGTGGACTGTATAGTTATATACTTACTCCATGGCCCAAAAAAGTATGAGACCTAGGTTTGGAGGTTTGATTATGAACTAGGAAGAATTTGCTCACCCTGACTTTTCCATCCAACAGGACCATAAGTGTCAATATTGTATTCCACTGCAGAGAAATCTATTCTATTTGAATGTATTATAATAAGATACATTTTCATTCTTTAAATACAAATGAAATTAAAAATAATAAGTGAAAATATCTAATAAATGTCAAATAATATTGACATGATGATATGTTCAGTTACATGACATAGTTGGTGTCATAAAATCATTTATTGGGATCTAACAGTGATAATCAGGATACTGATAAGATGTACTTTTGTACTACAACATGCCACTCAATTACATTGAATTATTTAGGATGGACAAATCTCTAAAGGTATAATATTGGTTGAGATCCGGGTCCTTTTGGAAGATATCAAGGAAGTGTCTTCCTTGAACATCCAAGATTTATTTGATTGATGGTGAAATTAACATGGTGGATGCGTTAGATCTTAATTTTTGGCCCATGGTGACGATGTGAAAGAGATATTGAATTAGTTATCTTCTCATGGATCCTAAGATGATCAATGAGAGAGTGAACATTTTAATAAACAAGGGGAGTGTTTGTTAGTTTCTTTTAGTTGCCAATTTGCGTAATTTTTTTAGAATTTTTTTTTTTTTTTTTTGTAATAGGGACAGGGAATGGGGAAATGTGTTAGCTTAGTTGGTAACTAGATATATTGCTTCTTTCTTTTTCCTTTTTACTACATGACAGTCATATAGTGCATAATGACATAACCCAAGTTGGCATGGTGGTTTATGCGGCACCATCATATACATACCTTGATGAAAAGTCTGAGGTAAAAGTATTTTCGAGTGATGCCATCCTCAACTAGTGATTTCAACTGAGGACTATACTTGACCTACTGAACATTTATATGACTTTTTTAGGAAGTCTATCTCCATAATTGTTTGTTTATTTGGGATGATCACTATTGGTCCCTGACCATGAGCATATTGAAGGACCACCATGAGTGATCTCCAAAAGGGCCTCTGGCCTTCTAAAGGTATTTACAATGTAAGGCTACTTCTTCTGAAAAAGCCTCATTGTTGGCTTGAATATGGTAGGACCTCTTCTCCTTAAATAGGCTGCCTTATTCTTATATAAGTTCTATTAAACTACTGTGTGTCTCGTACAACACTTGGTTGGGAGCCCAACGAGCATAAATGGGCCTGGTGTATAACCAACCTATGTGGCCCTCTTATAAGCCAAGATGGTTGGCCTAATGGGATCGCAATCGTATTTGGCTTGGTGTTGGTGCTAAGGATTTGTCAAGGAGGTCAAGGCCTACTTTTGTACCTTGACCTAGGTTGAGGGAAGAAAAAGACCATTGACCCCTTAGGTAGCACCTGACCAGACTATCCTTTTTTTTTTTAATTACCTAAAAATGGCCATCACACCTTACTAATTGGGTGTTTAGCCACATTAATTGGCCTTATGGCTGCAAGGTGTACCTACTTCTGATTATGCTTCGATTGGATGATGCTAGGGGTTGGCCTCGGGTTGGCCAAGAGGTCAGCCCACACCAAATCCAACGTGCTAACAAACCCTCAACCCACGTCAAACCCAAGTCTCGAGAACCCATTGCATCTCAATTCACGCCGTATGACACAGGTTTCATGGGTTTTCCAGGTTCCTCGGGTTCAAAATTTTAATGACCCACTAAGAATTTTGTTTTTTTGATAAGCATGGTTTACCTGTTTATAAATTGTGAGATAGAGATTAACCCACTAAGAAATTGAAAGTTACAAAAAGAAACTACTAAAATATATGCATTAAATATTTAAATCGTACAACTGCAGAGATCAGAGGTGCTTGTTTGGTTGATCCAGCAGTTCCTAAAAAGGTCCTGGTCATCACGGATTCAAAGAAAAGGGAGTTTGTTATTTCCAGGTTTTCTGGTTTTGCTACTTATAAAAAAAAAAAAAAAAAAAGGTTTTCTGGTTTTGTCCATGCCTAATTCGAGGAATTGATAATGCATGACCCAATCCTAGATGGCATAGTTGGCAGGAACTTTGAACCTCAAGAATGACCTCTTGATTTGTTAAATCCCAAATCATACCATTTACTTAGGATCTTAGTTAACTTGTCCTTTTCTGCTACATCATCCACATCCCTCTCCTTCCAATCCTATCTCACTGGCCAATTCAGGACTGCTACTCCACCTTGTTCTTTTTGTTGCTGCTTATGCAACTCTCTCTCTCTCGTATAAAATTAAAATTCTGCTTTTATGAATAAGATTTCTAGTGTTTATTTTTTCTCCATATTAAAAGCTGTGCAAAAATGAAATTGTTGATTCTTTTTTGGGTCGTGAGGGTAATTGAAATCATCTTTTAACTTAAAAGTGTTAATACAGTAGCCGGACCGAGCTTTTATACTTTAAGCTTCCTTCCTTTTGTTGTTGTGTCTTTACTTATTATTCAATATATATATATATATATATATATATATATGCATATTTATGTGTGTATGTGTATATATTTTCTGTTCTAAAGTCATGAGAGCCGTGAAAGTATTCTGGCTTGTAAGATAGAAAGAGCTATTGCAAATGGTCTTATTTTCTCACATGCTACTGCTTATTCATTGTTGGATTTTTTTAATTTGTTGTTGATATGTGGTTCACTCAATCTTTTGATGCATTTTATCTTGTTTCAGTTCTTGTGTTTGTTTAGTAGGTTTTTTTATAATCTGAAACTATTTACTTGTACTTTTTGTTCCTTTGGCAGATTACTTTCCACATTTTTACACCTGTTTCAAATAATCAAGGACATTCATCCTTTCCCATTTTCTTTTTCAGTATTTATTTTGGGTTTTGAAATTCCTTTTGTTATCAATACTGGATGTGTACTTGGAATCCTCAGCTCAAGAGACCATGTGATTTTATTGTCATGGGAAAGAAATAAAACCTAGGTCTCATGTTATGAACAAAGCATTTGGCATCATTTCATATGCATGGGGACATCCAGAGTCTCCATCTTCACAAACGAACACTAATTGAGATTCCTTTAGTTTTTCTTTTGAATAATGTGATCTTTATGTTTTCGTGCTACCTTTGGTGACATTACCTTGCAATTTTCTTTGCACTCACTCTAAAGTAGGAAAATGTGTTTTTTTGCCCCGGTTAGAGTCAAATATTGGTTTCCTGCTGCAGTAGAGGTGCACTTACAGTGGGTCTACCTCCAGCTTGGGTGGATGTATCTGAAGAAATAGCAGCAAATGTGCAAAGTGCACGGGCAAAAATGGTTGAGCTAGCCAAGGCTCATGCTAAGGCTCTAATGCCCTCGTTTGGAGATGGTAAAGAGGACCAACACAGGATTGAGGCGCTTACGCAAGAGATAACTGGTCTTTTAAAAAAATCAGAGAAGAGATTACAAAAATTCTCTGCCGTTGGACCTTCTGAGGATTTAAATATTCGAAAGAACGTGCAGGTATGATTTCATAGCCAATGACCATTATGTTGTCTGCTGTTGAACTTGTAACTTCGATCACCTCTTGCAAATGTTTGATGGATTTCTTAAAGAATTTATTTCTCAAATGTTTGATCGATCCCTATTTCATATTTGCTGGAATAAATGCTTTTATAGTTCGGTAGCACAGTCATGTATCAATCTCATTCTGGAACAGGCAGATCTTAATCGCTCTTTTTCTCTCAGTCTCTCTCGTCTATTATCTACTCTCTGGTTTTTCAAGGTTATAAGTACTCTGTTATAGATCTTAAGGGGGAGTGTGCAACTGTGTATCAGTAGGGTATTTTTCACTGATTGTTCCAGCTTAATGCAATTTGGCATCTATATACAGTTTACAGGGGTATGGGCGACTATTTTTCGTTTCTTTATTCTTCTTCTCACTGATGGGGTGAGAATCAGGCAGAAGATAATTCTTTCTTTTTCCGTGTACCCCTGTTCCCATGCAAAATTTTTAATCTAACATGGTCCAAATTGGTGATTTTGGCAAGTCTGTTGTAGGTTGTTTTTTTGAACATGGGTGATCTCCAGGGTTCTGATAATGGCAATCAAAAAATTATATTAGCTTGTATTTTAAACAATGATGGGACATTATGGGGAGCCATGCTTATGCTTTTTTATGTTTCTTGGCAGCGCTCTCTTGCTAATGATGTACGGAACCTTTCTATGGAGCTTCGCAAGAAACAGTCAACTTATTTGAAGCGTCTCCGACAACAGAAAGAGGTCTGTGCTGAATTCTCCGTTCTGTTATTCTTCATCGGATGAAAAATTGTTAATGTCTATGACTTGACAGTTTAAGACAGTTTTGACTTTGCAGTTCAGAATTTTACACAGTTCATTACCCTGCTTTTTGATTCTTGGAATTCCTTTGTCGTCTCTGATTTATTCTGCTGCTCAATGCTGCTTTTATTCTTTTCTAGTTTATCAGCAAGATTTTTAATTTTTTCCTCTCTACTCCAGGAAGTACAGAGAAGTACATGTTTCCAATATTATCCTAATGCAGTTCTTTGTGATGTAGGGTCCTGATGGGGTTGACCTGGAAATGAACTTAAATGGGTATAATGTTAAAAAGGAGGATGATGACTTTGACGACATGGTATATTGAATTTTCACCTTCTGTCTATTTCTCATAGAATCATTTTTGCTACACACACACACACACACACACATACATATGTATATATTAACTAAAGGTATGGGATTCCCATTAGACTCGTGTAATGTCGAGAAATACTATTTGCTTTATTAGTGGTTTGAATTAAATTGTTGATTTAACCATATGGGTTATTTGACCAAGGGAAAAAAAGGAAAAACAAAAACAAAAACGTACTCCACTAACCATAATACTTTTTTTTGGATTAGTTGAGGTTAGTTTTTGTTTGTAGGTTTCCATACAACGCTCGCACACACACCACGTGTGTATATATATACACATATATTTATGACCATAGTTTTCTTAGCAAACTAAAGGAGGCTAAAGCAATGCTTTCAAGCTTGATCCAATGGAATTGTCGTTCAGAGTTCAGCCATAATTTGTAATTTGATTCTTGAGACCAAAGTCACTGTATTATCAAAGGAGTCAAAGGAGTATATGGAACTTATGGGTGTCCATGTGTGTGTGTGTTTCGATTTTTCCTTTTGGATTTCTTTTTTGGTTTTCGGGATTGGGGAATAGGAGAATAATCTGCCTGAAAGATTTCAGGGTTTACCTCCTCTTAAAAATACAATATTTTGGTATATATAATTTTATATTTTTCTCAGCATATGCTCTTTTCTTACAAATAATCTATTTAGGGGTTTAATGAGCATCAGATGGCCAAACTGAAGAAAAGCGAGGCTTTCACCGCAGAAAGGGAAAGAGAGATACAACAGGTAAGGAAGCTCGGGGCTTACTGTTTTTAGATTTTCAAATTAAACCGACTTAATGTATGTTGCTTTATTTTGTACTACTTTTGGTTGTAATAGGTTGTGGAATCAGTAAATGAGCTTGCTCAGATTATGAAGGACCTATCAGTCCTCGTGATTGACCAGGTTTGATGCTATAGATTGTGTGTAATTATTCTTGGACTTCCCTAGAGATTCAAGGTGACTAATTGAATTTATGGCTCCAAGTAGGGCACTATTGTTGACAGGATAGACTACAACATTCAGAATGTTGCATCGTCAGTTGAGGAGGGTTTAAAACAGCTGCAAAAGGTCCTCTACTCTCCCTTCCTCCCCTAAGTTTCCCCTTTATATGTAATTTTTTACTCGGTTCTTGTTCATTCTTCATTCCAATATATATATATTTTTAATGTTATTGTCATGTTGGATGCGTTGGAATTACAGGCAGAGAGAACACAGAAACGAGGGGGAATGGTGATGTGTGCTACAGTGCTCATTATCATGTGCTTCGTCATGTTGGTCCTCTTGATTCTCAAGTCGATACTTTTTTGATCTATGAACATAATATATCCACCAGATCTGCCTACAGTCTTGTTGTTGTAACCCTGCGTTATAGTTGTCATACGCCAAGATATGTCGAGGTGCAATGCCCAATGGAAGAAGCGGAAATTTTGAATTACCCCCAAATGAAAACACTCGATCAATTAGTTTTCTTCTCAACTTTTTATTATTATTTTTTGTTTTCATCTTTTTTCACCAGCCCGGGGGGAGGAGTTGTATTACTTGAGGGAGTGACATATCTGCAGGACATGTACAGAGCATTTTACTGTAACTCGGCGAGGGTCTTTTGCTGCAGCTCCAGCTATCATTTCTTTAGATTTTCCAGGGAGATTTTGTAGTTTTTCCCACATTTCTCATTTTGTGATGATGAGATGAAATATAATTCGTTATATCAATTGTTTCTTGTAATAAAATGAAATGCATTCTGTTTCGGTGTGTATAGAAATTTCAACTTAGTAGGGCTGTAGTTATTCCCTAACAATACTTGCGTATGGCTGGCTTATTGAAGTTGTATTTAGATTTGCCTGTACAAAATGCATTTGGATGAGGAAGATTCTGATTTAACCGTACACATCTAGAATCGGTAAAGTTTAAAGTTTTAGTCAGGGTGAGAGAGCGCGCAGACTATGAAAGTGACACCCATTAAGAAGGTGGGAGTGAGAGCGCACGTGGAGTATGAAAGCGACACTCATTAAGAAGGATTTTGTGACTTAGGTGGTGAAAGTTGAAGGTGAAGGAAGGATGATGAAGATTTTGAGGCAGTATGGAGTTGCTTCTTTCCACTTTCTTGGTTGGGATGAGATAAAAATTATCAACAATTCTGCAAGATCACACTTTATAATGAGATTGCAAGGATTATATAAGAATCAAAGTTGATTCTCCTCTCCCCCATTATACTGATACAGATGAAATATTGTTTTTTGGATCTAAATTTTTTGAATGTTTGGTTGTAAAAAATGTAAGTAAAATATTTTATTAAAACTTAACAATAGTAACTTACACATCAACTGGACCCCAGTCTTTTATGTTGTTCCCGTTGCAAAATACTGGATTTCTATCCATACCATTTCTATTCCTTGAATTGAAACAAATTAGAATTCTCAACTCTCTACAATGTCTAGATGATAAAATATTTTCAGGAATAAGCAAATCATAATGATTTTTGTCTATATTTCCAGTTATCTTTTGATGTTTTGCAATGAATTCATCAAAGTTCTTCTTATCAAGAACTTCAATCTCGACTTTAAAAAATAATATATATATATATATATATATATATATATATATATATATATATATATTACTTGAAAAGAAAAATATTTTCAGAGGAATATTATTACAATGGAGCCTAAGAACCAGTCTGGCATCATTCAACTTGGATTTTCTCTTTTATTGTACTAGTAAAAAGAAGAGGGGGAGAAAAGAGAAGGGGAAGAGTTCGAACCGCACATAGACAAAAATTTGTGACTACTTTACCTGACACCCCAACCAGAAAAAAAAAAAAAAAAAAAGAAGAGTCTAGTTAGTGATGAAAAATGAAGATGTGTGGCACTACCATTCATGATAAAATGAAGCCCCACATATATACTACCATACAGTGTGCAAATTAATGACCTCTGGATAGTATTAGATAAAATTATAACTTTCTAAAGGAAATATCAATCAGCTTTCATAGCTCAGTTGGTTAGAGCACCCGTTTAGTAAGCGGGAGGTCTTGAGTTCGACTCTCAATGAAAGCAGGCTATTATAAGTTTTTTTTTCCCACCTACCCTCACTTGCCATTCAATCCCTTGGTTCATATACCTTTTATTTTTGACATGCTCATCCAACAACCTCAATCCACCTTTTTCTTGATCATAAGAATACTATTGCTTATCAACTGCTTTCATGATTCATCCAGTATCAAATTACCCCATATCTGATGAACCACCATCTATCTCATGATTCAACCATTTGAACTTGATGCCTAAGAACCAATTCCTTGTCACTAAATTAACAGGTTACTAGTAACTGATCTTTGTACTAATAGAAGATGGACAACAATAGAGCACACCGGCAAATTGGGAATCATACAAGTCATCAATACAACAACAACCACCAAGCCTTTTCCCAATTACTTGGGGTCGGCTACATGAATTCCGTGTTTCCATTCCGCTCTATTTACAAGTTGACAGTCATATCCAGAATAGCTGCTATTATAATACTTCTATTATTCAGACATATATTCTGTGTCAGCATATGGAAACATAAGAAAATCTATTGAGACTGAATGAATAATGGCCTGAAATTTATCATTGATAAGAATGAGTGAAATAATCCAACAAATAGTTATTACAAGATATACAAGTGACAACAAAACTACACTGAATAATTCTTCTTCTTCTTTATAGGTTAATCAAGTCTGAGGCTCTAAAAGATCTTTCAAAACTACTTCTTCTTCTTTGGGTTACTGGAGTCTGAGGCTCTAAAAGTTTTTTCAACAAGGCCAGAGATTGGCAGTTTCAGGTCAAAAGTCAGCCTTTGCAGAATCAATGCTAATGCGTCCACATCTGACATGGCTCGGTGAGCTGGACCAACTAATGGGATTTCATAACACTCACGGAGGGCTTGCAATGATGTTTTTGCAGGAACCTTTGATCCTGTTGACAAAAACAACCAAGTCAAAATCCTGAGATACACAAGGGGAGAGAGAGAGAGAGAGAGAGAGAGAGAGAGAGAGAGACCTCCCAACTTCATCGCTTCACGTGCCAGAGGAAGTGTGTCCAGAAACAGCCAATCTGAAGGAACCTCAAATGAGTGGCGAGAGAATTCATTATTCAAAAAGGGAACATCAAAAGTACGAGCATTGTGAGCAATCAACACTACAAATCCACTAGGTTTCTGGCGGCTTCTGACATACTGCAGCAAGATTGGGATCAGCTCGTCCATCCTACACAAAATTCATGATAGTAAGATTACCACAAAATATATTCAATTTTTCAAAAGCATTATGTTTATTGATTGTACAATGCTATGCAATGGAAAACATATCAACAATGACAAATGAATTATTCCCACTAGTCAGTTCTGATGGTGCTGGTCACACTAAAAGGACCAAGTCAAACAGTAACATCCAGAACTTAGCATTCCTATTTTGTAGTCAAATCTCCATAATGATGATCATCATAATAATAATAATAAAAAAATGAAATATATATATATATATAATTGTTTTACATTCCAAAAAAATAAATTTTATATTTTAAGGAGATTCTGAGACGTGAGGAGGCAAAATGGGCAAGACGATGAGTTGGGCCAGTTGGCTGAAGGGACCTGCTTAAGGTGAAAGTAAAGTGTCCCGACTCCCGATAAGGAAGCAGGAGGGATTACGTAGCAATGAGTTCTGGTAGCGGAGGCTGTTTCTTTTTGTATATCGAAAATGGGTCTCACGTATAGGTCCCATAGACATAACGAGGCTGCAGCTGTTTGAGTTGTATGCCCATAGACACAGGAGCCTTCCCAGTCCACAAAGCTCAGGCTACATGGTCTGACCTACAAGGCTATGATTTGTCCCAGGATGCTGCAGCGCCTAGACTGCAGAACCACAGGCTTGTATTATTGGGCTTATGACCAAAAAGGCTGTACATGTACAACCCGTATATGAATCAGGTGTGCCCCTGGGTATTTGAGTTGCCTTCATTCCGCTTCAGCATGACCTGCATTGGTGAACAAGGGACGATGCCACTTGGCCTGCCGATGCTTTTGTCTTACTTACCAAGCCAAGGCCCTCAGGCCATTTCATAAGGTCCAATAATGCCTTCTAGAGTTCTCTGAGAGTGATAGCACGCCATAAAGGCATGTCACACTGCTCGGGCACCAAGCCAGTTAGGCAGACTGGTTCCTGCTCTGTTTCAAGAAGGCATACAGTGTTGGGGCAAATTGCAAAGAAAAGAGTAGGGGTCCAGATAGCGTCTTACTAGTCTGGCGATGTGGCCAAGTAAAATCCAATGAGGCATAGGAGGACCCCACATATCCTGTACCTTTGGGTTGTTCGTGTCCTTGTGGGACCACTTTTAGTATTGAAAAGGTTGTCTACAGTACTGTGTAAGAGAAATTAGAAAATAAATAAAAAGTAAATGGGGAGGAGAAAAGGATATAAGTAAATCTGATGTGTGGTAAAAGAATAAAATAAAAATCTGACATAATGTAGAGCACTCGAATGTAAATCTTGTGTCACACCTACTACAATGAAAATTGCCTCCACCTCCTATATTCCAATCTAACACTTACAAACTCAAAATAATGGCCAGATGCGAATTAGGTATAAACCATCATACATAAAAGTAAAATGCAAGGCCGTACATGATATCAGAAGGTTTCCATGCAATTGCCATCATAAGCTATTTAAATCAACTGCATATGCAGTCTAAATCTAGAAAAGTTATTTCCAGCGAATTGGTTTTTGGTATCACAATCACTATCCTTCCATGTGGAAGGTATCCTTTCTGCAACTTACACCAATCAAGAAAAGAGAGTTTCCACTTCAGCTAATGTATTTTTATGTCTTTTCTCCAGAATTCATCCAAGATAATTTCAGCTTTCCACCTAAAGCTATTTGACTTTCACCAATGCAGTCTCATCCATACTCTGTGTAACGACCCACTCCACCACATGGTATGATATTGTCCGCTTTGGGCCTGAGCCCGCACGGTTTTGCTCTTGGGCTTTACCCCAAAAGGCCTCATACCAATTGGAGGTGACACACTTATATATAAGCACTTCATATTTCCTCTACCCAGGCGATGTGGGACTGTGCACCCATAGCTCACCAGTGTGGTAGCCTGACAGTGTCTCTCACACCTGCCCACAGCACACCTACCCACAAGGTCATCACACTCTGTTAGTTTCTGTTGACCTTTTCCATTCACTTTTCTTATCTTATCTGTAATCACCTCTAGAGGTACTCCAAAACTTTTAATGTGCTCAATCCAGATATAAATTTCCCCCCTTTTCAACTACCATGCCCCTGGAAACTCATTTATTCTTTCTCACCCAACTTGCCAATGTATAAAGCATCTTATTTTATAAATGTATGCATGCTAATATTTGGTCAATCAGAATGCATCCGTCACTTAATTGCCAGGAATTGCATCTGCTTTCACCACACAACTTTAGAGACTATGAACAGCATTCCCCTTTATCTCTTTCCCATGAATTATAAAACCAAACTACTGTACGCAGTGGTTTCAGCAGGATCTCATATTTGCCTCTTAACATGGACTTCCAAATGTGTGAAGTACTCATGTCCGACAAAGGATACCTGGGAAAATTTATTGTACATGTCTGATCAGGCATAACATCAAATAAGCATTTCCAATTGCACATGAAACCTGATATTTCTATTACATTATTACTTCGTAATGACGTTCGCGTGTTGAACACATTACATAAATATGCCATTATACCTTAAAAAATTAAATTACCAGTCACAATGTACTTGCATCTTGGGGTGTCCTTGTATTTGGACCATCGATAAAAAAACTGACACTTAGACACAGCTATCTAACCCACCTAACCAAATCCATGCAACAAAGCAGTTTGCCAAACCTTACTTTCCCCTTTTTCCCAAGATTCCCACACCTTACATTTTGTACAGGACTCTAGGCTCAACTAATTCTGAGGAACTGATAAGAGTGTTAAATGGCTCGCCTCTGGTCATGCCAAGCTTACTTAGTCTTGCATTCCAGGTTAGTTAAACTTGAGGATATAGTGACTCGTCCTCCTTTAATTGTTTCGGACAATGTCAAAGAAGTGCCTTGTCTTCTAGAGAAGCAACGCTCTTTGGAAGAGATGAAAAGTCAACTTGTCTGAGGCCTTCTTGGAGCTCCTCAAAAGGGATTCCTCTGGTCCCTGTCTAGGATTTTCAAAGAGCTTCTGGACTCCTATTCCATTATGTGTGTATTATCCAGTATCAACATGTTAGAACTCTATTGATATGTCATTCTAAAAATCTTTTCATCAGTTCATCAATTAGTTCCAAAAGTTCATCGCATGATATGTTATATATCTCCGTTAGACCTCCACTCCTTAGAATGAAAGTTACCAAACCAATATTTCCACATCTAGTTACATCTCTTGATTTTTGCTCAATAGCCCTCTCTCCTATCCTCGTGGTATGGCTCATAATTAAATCAACTGATAAAATAAGTGATTGACGTTTTCCTTCATTCTAGCACATGTACCCCAATTTTCTCCTAAACCAAATGAATCTTTATAGATTTCAAACTTTCCTCAACACTTAGGAAGGACAAACTACTTATGACATGCATTTTCCACACCTCAAAATAACAAACCATGTCCATATCCATTTCAATGATCAAAGAGACAGCACCTTTCAATTAACTCCCCAGCTAGATTTAGCAAAAAGGTTCATTGGTCTATCCTTAATCCTTCAGTTCTACCTTTTAATCTAGTGTGTTTGTTAATTTCCCCATTCCCAGCCTTGCAAATTTAGTTACAGTTATATAAGTCTAGTCTTATATGGCAACTTGAAATAAGAGTCGTTTCAGTAGTAATGAAATCAAAACATATCAACATGAGAATCCAATATTATCTATTTCTGGACATAGGCTGACTGTCACAAGTGCCATTTATCAACATGGATACAAGTGTCAGATACGACATCTCCCCACAACTAGACAGTAAACACTGACATAGCTACAATGACATGTTTGACTGTAATTATGGAATATATATACATGTTTAACACATGTCCATATGCATGATGTGCATAAAAGACCATGAATAGATTTGTCCCTTATAGACATGATAATATATGGGTCATAGGAGAACTAGGGACAATATCATATGTACCCTTTATAACATTATTACATTCTTAATGATAAGGATAATAAGTATACATTATAGTTGTCAAGTTGGGATTCCTATCGTGAACTGGTATATTTTTCTCAATTACTAATCATATCAAATTGTGAACATAAGATATGGTGACAATTTTTTATTTATTTAAAAAAAGAACAAATAATAGGGAGTATAATAAAGACAAAAACTGTATTGTAACCATGAAGAAAATTGTAAAGAAACAAATCTAATGATGTGATCATGCCATCTAAAAGGTAAGGCGCTTCACTTCATAAAGCGAGATGTGGGTCCATGCCCCACATCATTGTCATCTTCACGGTCTCCTTTTTGTCCTAACATCTTGATTTCAGTCTTCACAACATTCTACTTGAGTGTTCTGATTTTTACTGCTCCTTTCGTTTAAATATTCTAAAAACATTTAAAAAGTTTTCTTACATAATCGGGAACTTGTATGCTCTCAAAACTATTAACATGACTTCTGGTCAAGAAATTTTCATTCAAATAAACACCACCCATATATAAGTTCTCACAACGATTACACTTTAAATGCATCCTATTACCTGATCACCAAAATAGGAAATTTATATTACCACGCTTACCATCATCAATATGGCCAAAATGTTCCCACAAAGGATCAAGCCTTTTCTCCAAAATGACATTTCTCAAGAAAAGAACACAAATGAACACAAAATCCAAAAAATGAGTACAAGTTGATAAGTGAAACACTCAGTCACCCTAAAAGGCCCAACAACTAAACTTTTTCAACAACTTCAATAGTTGGCTCCAAAAGAATCCCTTTACAAATAGAATTACATTGCAGAAAGATTTCACTTTAGAGTCTTATAGAGAGACATGGGTTTCTTCATCTCTTGAGAATGAGAATGGAAATATCTAATATAATAAAAGAGAAAGAGAAGGTGGGAAATATATAAGTTGGCCCTAAAAGGATCGAAAGATCCTTAGAAGACTTTTTTTTTTTTTTTTTTTTTTTTCTTAGTTGGTACTCACACACACATGCCTCCATGGAGGCTTGAACCCTTGACTTCCCTTTGGAAAGTAAGGGTCGAATACCGCTAGGCCACTGGCCTGTTGGTTCCTTAGAAGACTTTTTATAAAGCAACAAAAAGAAAGAACGAAAAAACGGGCTCCAGGCAATAGGACCCAACTGGGCCTGACCTAGAATCAACCAAATTGACATGAATCAACTGATTCGGGTTGATTCTGGTCAATGCTACCTGTTTAAATCGATCACGGGATGAATAGAACCATGCACAATTTTTCTGCAAATTTTAGAAGTGAATAGAAGAGCAAACTTGTTAGTGTTCAATCAAGTTTCAGGCCCATGTAAACAGTCTGTGTTGTGTCAATAAGTGGTTAACATGTTAATCGGCAATATGTGGATTTCTCCAGCATTTCATTAATATACTCAAAGTTACATTTGTGTTTATGTCTATAAATCTGGCATGAGTTTCTATATTATAAGCAGAACAAAAGCAAATCAAGCAACTCAAGCTCACTTGACCATTGGCTCAGCTAGAAGCTCGCTCATGATTGCCTCATAACTTGTGAGATAAATGAGTTAAGCTTAATCAAATTTAGAAGCTTATTAACCTAATGTGTACGGTTCAAACTCAACTCAGTAAGCTAACAAGCACTCTAGAATTGAACAAGAATCCAAGCTACTCAAGCAAGGCTCAGTCAAGACTCGCTTGAGATTGGCTTGACAAATAGACAAACCAAACTTGATCGTATTTGGAGCTTATTAGATTTTTCAAGCCAAGTGAGCAACCAACTACTTGACTTTACAGCCCTACTGAAAAATTATCAACACTTGGAATTTGATCATAAACTTGCCTCCAGACCATTTCTTACATGAGGAAACTTGTTACTTTGACAAAGCAAACCGAAGTTTATCAGAGAAATTAACAAGGAATGCAAATCAGCAGAATTCCAAAAATAAAGAAAAAGATTGACATAAAGATAAAACAAGGGCTAATTCAGGCCAAAAATCAAGTAAATTCAAGTGTCTTATTTATGGGCTCATTTTAATTACCATCAATAACCCAAGATAAAAATCAGCAGTAACAGAATAGGATACCTTGGAATGCCAGGCCTGGTTACCATATAGGTTGAAATGCCGTGGATATGTGAATTTGGCACAATGCATCCAGGATTTACTAGTGTCTGAAAAGTGCTATTTTCACCCCCTCCAAGATCTCGAACTGCAATCTCGATAATCCGTCCATCTACTCTGCTAAACCCAGTGGTCTCAATATCAAAAACAAGAAAAGTTATGAGGCTGCTAAGATCTTTGTTCTCAGCAATCTTTTGTTGAATATCACAGTACTGAATTCTTTCAATTTTATTTATTTCGGATTTATTTATATCTACTTTCGTGCTTGTAGAAATTGTTCCATCTGATACTTTATGACTGATGTTTGTTTTTCTTCTTAGGGTGTTTTTGCTTCTTCCTTCTGCTTCCGTACTTGCAGGTCTTCTGATCCATCTCCTGCTGTATCCTCCTTCATGCCCATCATAAGTATTGGAACCAAGAAGCTTAAAGCTCGAACCGCATCCATGATTCTTATTTAACTTGTGAAAACTTTCCCACCAAGAAGTAGCTGAGGTGAAATGTCTGCATCTAGGGGCTTGCAAAATTGAAAAGCACATTGCAACTGATCTCATCTGAACTCAAGTACTACCACAGAAAAAGATTCCAACTGATAAAGAATTCTGTAACTCATAAATAATTTACCATGATCTGCAGATGAAGTTACAGCAAAATTAAATTAAAACAGAATAATAGAAAACCTGTTGTGGTAGACCTATAATAGGACATTAATTGAATCAAGCTCAATTGCACCACAATAAATATTTTTAAGATCAACCATATAAGAGAGAAAAAAAAATCATATAACTTAGATTGTAACCCTTTAAATTCATGAATTTAGGATTTGTAACATAATAATGGAGTTTATAAATTGGAAATTAGGGCTCAGAACTTGCCCCAAAATGAAAAAAAAAAAAAAAAAAAAAAAAAAAAAAAAAAAAAGTTCACTGTTAAAGAAGTATATCCAGCAAAGGAAGGACCCAATAATTGAATACTGCAAAAACCTAAGAGAACAAGTCTATCAGGTCATAAAGGTTGTGAAACAATATTTCCACACAGGATTATATTCCTCAGCATATAACACCATTGAGGAATGAATTTTAAACAATCATTCTTGAAACCAGTACTGTTTGTATCTTCAAAAGCTCCCAGAAACTGAAGAATACATATTTCCAAACAAGACCAAAAATGGGTAATACCCAAATGACATAACACCAAATGGGACATCATTTACTCGATTAAATCCAAATGAGATCAGTTTGGAGAAATCAGAACCACTAAATCAATGCAAAAAAAAAAACTGACAATCGAGGTGTGAACTTTAATCCCAAATCAGTAGCAAACAAATCAAATACTCTATCTACAACATTTGTAAATCAATCTGTACTCGAATATTCATGCTCATAAATAGAAAATAACAAGACTACAGCGATTCGAAGATGAGATTGATAAAGAGCGAAAGACATGCCTGCTAATGATTCGAAATGTAGAGCCTCCTTTGTTCAAATTTCAAAGGATCATTCTTCGATTATGCGCGCTTAGATATATAAATATATGTATATACACATGGATAGCTTTTTAGAGAGAGAGAGAGAGAGGTGGAGTGAGAAACAATTCCGGAGAGGTCATGGGCATGGAGGGTGAAGAAAGTGGAGTGTTCGAAATTATGCCCCGGAAAGTGCGGATCCAAACCCAGATCCATCCCTCTCGGGCCTATCACTCAGCAGTCCACCCCACGTTTAAGAAACCCTTTTTAAAAATAAAAATAAAAAATTAAATTTTTTTTTTTTAAAAGAGTTAATTGCAAAAGGTCATAAATTGTAAAATATTTTGTGTGTAATAGAATTAACCCTCCTAAATTATTCGAATTTCACATGTAAACAACAATGTAATGATTTATTTCACTGTTAAATTAGTTTTTTAAAATCATTATCCTTAAAATTAATTACATAAAATAAACCTTTTACATTATTACAAACATATATTTCTATGAACTTGTAGTGATTTTTATTAATAACTAACAGAATATTGATACACTAAAAAAAAAGACGAAGTGGCTTTGATACGGTTTTCCTATAGTTTGGAAAAAAATTTATTTAATTAATCTAAAGAAGTAAACTGAAAATAAAGTGACTGGGAATTTTTCTTGTGTTTTAGAAATGATAATGACTTTTCCTCACGTTTCCATTAGATTAATGTTCAAAATCAGGTGATGATAGCCACGTTACTAAACTAAAAATTTTAAAATACTGGGGTTCACTTGATTTATAACTATAGAAATAATTTTCTATTTTCGAAAAACTAAAATCATATAATTGTACCAAAAATTATGCTTAGTTCAGTTTTCCTCAATTATAAGTGTCTTTTATAATTTTTTGAAAATTGTTATCTGTTTTCAGAGTTTCTGATAATTATTTCTAGAGTTACAAACCAAACATGTTTTAATTTTCTCTCAACTATTATTTCAATAAAGATTAAATTTAAATTTGAAAATAAAAAGATGAAATAATACTCTATTGACATCTTCCAACACAAATATGTTATCTTCAGTAAGCTTTCGTGCAATTTCATCACCAATTATTTTTTAAATTTTATCCTTTTAAAAGATGAAATTTATTGTGATAGACACTTCAAATAAGAAATCTTGATCAACATAGAGAAGATCTTTTGTAATTGATTTTTTTTAATAAGGTTGTGAGTTTATTGAATTATTGAGTAATGGTATTGCGAGAGCGTTCTTGTAATAAGTCTAAAGAGTTTGCGCTTATTAGTCACACAATTCCTATTTTAAGGTTAATTAAGAAAGAATTGTTCGCAATTAAAGAAACAAATCAAGTTTTTTTTTCTCTTGTTTCCGCTTTCTCCCTTTCTCTCTCTTGGTTAACAATCTCAACTAATCTGCCCCTTCTCTCTCTTGGTTAACCCTCAACTAATTTGTCTTTCACTCTCTATCTCTTGGTTAACCCTTAACTAATTTGTCTTTCACTCTCCATCTCTTGGTTAACCCTTTGTCTTTCTATCAAAGAGTTACTTCAATTGCATTCCATCCTTCCTCACTCACATACTAGGTTTTCATAAGTTAAACTTCATCTATCATATTTGTAACATTATTTCATTCTATTTGAGATTTTTTATTTTTTATTTTATTTCTTCGCATTTTTGAGCTTTGGAATAACCTCGTCACAAAAATTTAATTATATTTTGATATATTTTTTTTCTTTTATTTTTCATGTTTTTGAGTTTTGGAATAGCTTCATCCTAGAAATTTTTTGTGTTCAAACTAAGATATAGAAATAGGCAGATTGGTTGAGGGTTAAGCTAGAGGGAGAAAGAGAGAACATGGAGGGAAGAGAAAGAAAAAAGTTTGATTTGTTTTCTTATTTGCAAAAGATTCATTCTTAATTAATTCTTCTCAAAATTCCTAAATATAGAAATTATGTGACTTATAAGTGCGCTCTTTAGACTTTTTGTAAGAGTGCTTTCGTAATTATTATGCAAAAGGGTTATTATTATTATTATTGATTTTTATTTAATTATTATTATTGATTTTTATTCGTACGTCTTTACATTTAACAGCATTAAAGTATTCTCGAAAATAAGAGTTGTGGTATTCTTGTCTTCCGGTGAGCCGTTGAAAAATGCCATTTGGGGACATCAAGGCCGTTGATCAGGTGGAATCCTGTGGTGTTGCGTGTGAAGCTCTGTTACTTGTATTTGTGTTGGAGATTCAATTCCGTTACAAAAAGTTTGACTTGTGGGGGTCTTGTGAGTGACTCTAGCAAGCCAAGCAAGGAATACGAATCTGATTGACGTAACTTGTAAATAATTCTCCACCAAATTTTATTTTATTTTTTAGATGGACAGCTCCATGCAAAATTATTTTGTGGGAAAATCAGAAAATGTAAAATAAAAATAAATAAATCAAATGGCTTAGACCGGGTGATTTTTGACTTTTTGAATTTATTTTATTTTATTTTGTGCGTACTTTTTTTTTTTTTCTCTTTTTTTAAAGATCATGGGTTTCTTTTTTACTCATCTGGTTTGAGAATATGCTGATTGCTGATTCTCGTATCTGATTTGTTTCAAGACTTCAAGGATGAGACAACTTTTAATTGCTTAAAAATGAAAATTGGAATAAAATTTAATAGAACCTATCTGAATCTATTGAAATGAAATTCCTTCGATAAGTATTTACCCATCAATCATAGCATTCCAACATATGTATCTGAATTTTTGCACTTTATGTGACACTTGTGCACAACGCTTCAACAAGGCAAATCCACGCAATATGTTATCCACTTGAGAGCATTGCCTTCAAGCATAGACGAATCTAAGCATTCACATGGGGAGGGGGCATTTTTTAATATAATTTTAGTGGGAACAATTTCAAAATTTTATGAACATAATACAAAAATGTACAAATTTAGAGGTGTAAAATGCAATAACAAAAAAATTGTTACACCGAGTCATCCTTCAGTGTTCATGTGCCCTTGTTCGAATCTCACTTTCTCTTAATTTGCCAGCATAAAAAATAAAAAATAAATGTCTATGTTTCACTACATGAACATGACTTGCACTACTTCCTTAACAAAAATAATACAATAAGAAATTTTGAACCAAAATAATAAATGGTAAATGAGAGGTATTTTATGAATTTGATTTTAAAAATGTTGTGAGACCCCACTAGAGGAAAAAAGACTTGCGTCTTTTCTGAATTTTGACAATTTTATTTGGTAAATGAGTTAAAAAATGAGAGATATATTTTTTAAATTTTGGTAGTTTTTCTTTCGGTCTTTTTGAATTTTTTTTCTTAAAAAAAAAAAAAATTAGTGGAGGCACTATTATAAATTATTGAAATTTGTGTATAAAAAATATATAAATAACATAAATTCCAATAAGAGCAATTGCCCCATTTGACCACCGTGGCTCACAAATGTGTACTAAGGTTTCACAACCAGTATCTCAAAATAAAAAGAGATGGCTTGAATTAAGAATGACGGTATTGTTCTGGTAATAAAGGGGCCGGGCCAAAAGTGCCCCCCAACCTTTCGATTCCTCTCTTTCTCAATAAATTACTAACCATTGCCAAGATAATAAGAATAAAAAATAGCCTTAAATTAGTCATAGAATTCCATACAAAAACATTTGTGACTTGCTTGATTCAGTTTTTTGAAAATTCAATTATAAAAGACTTGTTTTTTAAAACTGTCTTTTATTATTTTCTGAAAACTGTTTTTTATTCTCTGAATTTTTTAGAACCGTTTTCAAAATTATAAACCAAAAAAAACAATGAAAGAGAAAGAAGAAAATAAAAAATCAAATTACTATCCGTGCGAATTAATTATGTTACATTTGGTTTCAAGTGCAAAGTGCTCTGAAATAAAATCAATAGGTAAAGAGCTGCACCAAATTGAACTAGGCCTGATCTAAAAGGCTAGAATCAACCAAATTTGAACTATCCTAACAATCTCTTTAAATTAACCTATTTTAATTTAATTTTTTTTTATTATAGGTATCTTTATAGCTGAGTAAGCTAGTATTGGTGAATTTTGAAATGACATACTCTTTGAATTCATTCATCATAGACATACACTTCTTCTAAGATTTTTTATAATCCATGACTAACAAATACCTTCTAGAATTCTTCACTTAAATATCTATATATTACAACATATATAAAATTTTCCACTCTTTTAGAGTATACTCCAATCTATTAATTCTTTACAGACTCTTCTTCAATGTTACACAAAATTTCATCTCTCTAATGCACTCTACAATGTTTGACCAAACTGCATTTTCTGCCTTTTTTTCTAGTAGCTGTTGGTTGCTTGCAACTACACATTGCCAACAAATTATGAAAAGTATAAAACTTTATTAAATAAATTTATGGCAGAGTCACAACTTTCATGACTTATACACCACATTATGATTTTTTTCTTTTTCTTTTTCTTTTTCCCACCAGATTGCCCAATCATGTTTTAGTAGTTTAATTGCCACTATAACCATTTTCCTCATCCTTATTGAGTACATTATCATTATATGTTTTTTTTTTTGAATTTCTTGCCTTTACCATACTTGGTAGTTGGTACTATACAGATTTATACTTTGAATTTTCTCATTCTTAAAATATAAAACTGATCTGATATGTCCTACATGACTTGTTTTTGTGCCCTCCTCTTAATTTATTTAGGATATTTTGCTAATTAACAAAATGTTGTGTAGGTGTTAGAAGAAATATTGTTACTCCTTAAACTTTAATTTTTACTTTTAGAGAACGTGCAAAAGGACAACACATTTGACTTCATAAATATGCAATATTTTAATTACTGAAATTGTTAATTAATAAATTGTAAAAGGGAATTAATTTTTTTGTTGATAATTTTTTATAAAGAATTTTAATTAAGATTATAAATTAACTTTTAAGTTTTAACCTGGTACATTTTACTATCATTTTTAAAACTTGCAACAGTTTTTTACAAAATATATTTTCACGTTTTTGCTTTAAAAAATATTGTAATTTTTTTTTTTTTAACTTTATCAACATGTTTTCAGTCATTATTAAATACTCTACAATAAAAACACAAAAGATCTTTTTGTTTTTAAAATTAAAATGTAATTGTATATGTACCTTTGGAATTAGTGAATAC